GATGTCCTTGAAAGAGGCTTGTAGGGAAATCTCTGCTTAGACTGCCAGTCTCTTGTTGCGTACATTAGGGTTCCATTACTGCTGGTCAATAAGACACCAGTGGTAATTTAAAAACAAACAAACAAACAAACAAACAAACTTCAGGCAATAGTGGCTCAGTGGATAAGGTGCTGCCTTGTGAACCAAAGAGTAGCTGGTTCAATTCCCAGTCAGGGCACATGCCTGGGTTGTGGGCTGCATCCCCAGTGGGGGCACGCGAGGGGCAACCACACATTGATGTCTCTCTCCCTCTCTTTTTCACCCCCTTCCCCTCTCTCTAAAAATAAATAAATAAATAAATAAATAATCTTTATAAAAACCTTCAGGCAATAGAACAAAATCTGTGTAATATCTTTTAGGTTATCATTGGACTGCTATGATGGTCTTGAATGGCATTAAATGAGACCTCAGTCTCATTGGCTTCAATGGCTTGAAAAACTTATAAACACAACTCTCTGAAAGATAACCTTACTACCACAGAGCAAGTTGGTGTTCCTAGGGTAAATCTGATTCATTCCTGTGACTTAAACACACTCTTTCCGAAATGGAGGTATACAAGGCTTTCTGTGAGTTGGAAAATATATATAAATCACTGGTATTATCTCAAAACCCTTGAGTAGAATTAGGCATCACCACAAATCTTCTGCTCAAGGTCAGTGTCTAAAAAGATGACCAGAATAGGTGTCCCAACACCTTCTGTAGTAGAGAGTAAAATAAGCTGTCCTTTGTCTAAGGCAAGTAATGAAAAATATTATTGAACTGAATAAAAATAGAAAAAGCCCTCTACATACTTTGTTGCACTATTGCTGGACTCACTCACCTGAGCTGGGTTTAATCAAGTTCCTAGAACTCAGTTATAAATTGTACTTCATCACCGGTCACAAGCTGAGAGTCTTGTACCCACCAGTTAATTGCCTTGAAGCCATGTGCTTTTCACATGCTGATAAATGACTACATTCAAAGTGTACAAAGTCCTCCTAAGAATATACAGATACTGATTTAGAAAGTAGCTTTACCCACATGGTTGGCCATAAATAGCAAAGGACATGCAGGGCTTCCTTAGAAAGCTCTGGTAGGAGGTGACAGCTGAGATCACTGAGTAAGACAAAGGCTATAGCCTACAGAGCCTGTGTCACCGAAAGGGCATTGGAAGGGCCTTTTATTGGAAGAGGAATGCATTTCCCAGGAGGCTTACGCGAGCCTACCTGACCACAGTGGTGGGAAATTTGCAAGTCTATCTATGGACACCACAAACGCAAGTTGTCACCCCAAAGCCAGGGCAGCAGGCGTGGATGGGAATCCAGCCGGAGAAGGATGCAGGAGGGGAGTCCTTGGTGGCAGGGACACTCGTTACTCAGGCGTTCATAATTTACAGCCATTTGAGTGTGCAGTATTTCTTTTTCTTCTCCGGTGAGCAATCGGGGCAAGCCATAGGATCCAAAGATGGAGCTGGTATAATCTCGATGTCCTGCAGACTCAAGTATTCCTGCTTCCCGTGAGAAGCCAGGGCCCGCGCACACTGGCGCACAAAGTGCCCTCAGGCATGCAGTTGCCTTCTGTGCGAGCGAGGCCTCACAGGGTGTGTTCCTGTGGGTGTATGTGCCCCACTGAGCCTGAACACTGAGTTGCACCCAAGGGAGAGGCTCCAGAAAATGCCACAGAAGAAGAGATATGAGAAGCCTCTCTGACTGGGAGAAGGAGAGCCAGAAGCCGGCTCAAAGATGGGCACCTGCTGGTGCAGCTTCTCTGCCCTTGCTCAGAAGTCCTTCAACGCTCCGGGTAAAAGACCGCCGAAGGAGAGGGCTGGTGAAGACTCTGGAAAAGCATGCTGACTACGGCTTAGTGGCGAGGCAGGACGGGTGCAGCGACAGCCCTTGAGCTCTAAAGTCCCATCCCCTGGGTGTGAAATCTGTTTTCTTTTTAAGCTGCGAGACCTTCAGAAAATCATTAGCCTCCATGAGGACCCTCTGCATTGTCCTTAGACTGGGGTTATTGTGAAGACTAAATGAGACAATCCATGTAAAGTGCTGAACAGAGGACTCTCCTATGGTAAGTGCTTCATGACTGGTAGAGATGATTATTCTAGCAACTTGATGAAAAAACATAGCTGAAATAAATCATACCAGGGAAAAGGAAACAAAACCAAAAAATAAAAATAAAAACAAAAGGAAACTGCACTGTGCCTTCTGAAAATACATTACATTAATTACAGATCCAGATCCAAACGTGAAGAGTCCCTCAGTTTAAATTTTTTTTAAAAGAAGGAAATTCATGTGTGTGTGTGTGTGGGCATCCATGCACGTTTGCATTCTTTAGTATTTTAAATGTTTTATGGGATGATGGGGGATTTTCTAGGGTTACATGTTCAGTGCTTCTAGCCTGAAATGCAGTGTAACACATCATTGGGCAAGGAACCCACTGAGGCAAACGGTCAAGGTTTTCACGATGTGATGCTCCCATGTTGAGGCAGCCACGGGAAATGCTTTTGGAAGGGATCAGCCACAAGCCAGGGAAAAGAAAGGAAAGGCAAGACTTGTGGGCAGCGCCTAGCTGGCCAGAGGGTTTTGACCAAAAGCCCAAGGGAGCAAACCCTGGATTCAAACAGAGGATGCCCTCCTGTCTAGGACGTCAGAGACTAGAGAGCCCGGAGGAACACTGTGGCCCTCAGCCGCGGGCCAGTAAGGGCCAGTAAGAGCCCAAACTGGCCATGGTGGGCAGGAAATGACACCGGGACACAGCCGCGAGGACCTGTCGGACTTTCAATATGTGCCCAGAAGAGTGATCACCGGTGCAGGCGGCTTCACTGCGGCACCTCGGACTTCAGTCCTGAGAACTGCCTGATGGTACCCACACCTTCCCCTGCTTTTGCACTTGTCGGGCCTGGGGCACGGAACCAATTACTTCCCCTCCCTGAACCTCAGCTTCCTCTGGTTAAATGGAGAGCACATGGACTTGGCATGAGAAATGATGAATATATGCGAAGAATTCATGATGCTAACTAAGCTCCTAGATACAAGCAAAGCCCCCCACCCAGTCCGTGGCACATGGAAGCCACTTAATAACTGCTGTTGCTGGGTATTGGTGCTGCTGGTCTGCATACTAATATTCCAGAGATATAATGATGGGATTTAGTGCAAACTGAAACCGAGGCCTTTATTGATTTAAACCTGGGAGGCTGGACCTGGATGAGCCATTTAAAAAGCAATCTGCTCCCGCTGCCTGCAATTCACCCCCCTCTAACTGCAGTGGCCACCTGACAATGCAAGCGAATTGCTGTAAACAGTTAATGAGGAGTATGACTGTGTTTGGGAAAATTGTATAATTACTCCCCCATTACTATGCAGTCAGTGAACCTGTCATTTGCCATCCAACCTCCTATGTTCTCTCCGTTTCCTAACTGTCTAGGGAGCTGATTCATCTGACGAGAGGGAGGAGGCCTCAGAGCAAGGTTCTGAGAAGCAGGTAAACACCTGTAAGTCCACAAAGGTGAGGGCCTCCCCCAGGAGCAGCCTTGCAGGCGGTATGGTTTCCCACAGAAATGAGAACAGCGCCTGCAGGTAAAGGCAAGTGTTGCCCACCAGCTGGAAGACAGGCCCTGGGAACGAAAGGGTGTCTGGAAGGACTTGGAAAGGCTCTCCTCAGTGTTCAGAGGAATAACAAAGGAGTATCAATAAAAGTGGGTCTCACTCTTCCACACTTGACATTTTACTTATCAGCTTATTCATTGTGGTCTAGTTAACACCTACCAGGTCTGTCCAGAAAAAATCCAGTTGTTGTTAATATAACGGGAATGGTTTGAGCCACATGGGTGTAACCTGGCAGCCAGGGAGAGTGTGCTGGAGTGTGCGCGGGTGAACAATGATGACTTCACTGTACTAGTCAGTGGGAGCAGTAGATGCCATTGAGTGAGCACGTGGACTGTGTGGCTGTCACATACAAAATGACTGAGTGAGTAGAGCAATGAATCTGCATCAAATTATGCTTGAACATTCCTCCATGGAAACCATTCGGATGATTCAGAAGGCCGCAGCTATGGGCAACCAGTGACCGGCAGCTTCCTCACCAGAATGCACCGGCTCACACACCAGGTCTCGTGCAGAGTTCTTTGTCAAAACGTCACATTGCCCAAGGGACTCAGCCCCCCTAAAGCCCAGATTTGGTGTCCTGTGACTTCCGGCTTTTCCTAAAACTAAAGTCACTTTTAAAAGGGAAGAGATTTCAGACTATTGATGAAATTCAGGAAAATACGCCGGGGCAGCTGATGCTGATTAGAACTGTGTGAGGTCTCATGGTGCCTACTTGGAAAAGGACTGAGGCATCATTGTCCTATGCACAATGTTTCTTGTATCTTCTTCAAAATGTCTCTGTCTTTCCTAGCACGAGGCTGGAAACTTTTTGGACAGGCCACGTGTATTTCATTGTCAATCACTGACTCATTCCTTCATACATCAGTTCATCCACTCCACATGTATTTATGAGGCACCCCCTGTGTGCTAAGCCCTGTTCCAGGCACTAGATACAATAAGGATAAAAGAGACAAAATGCCCTGTCCTCAGGGGCTTACATTCCAGTGGGGAGAGACAGACAGACCAAAGTACACACAGAGTATGTGTGAAGGTGGTAAGAACTACATAAAAGTAATACAGCAGGGAAAACCAGAAGACATGCTGGAGAGAGGGCGTGGGATTTTAGGGAAGGGGTCAAGGAGGCTCAGTGAGAAGGTGATATCTGAGCCAGGCTTCAAGGGCGGGAGGCTTTTCTGCTGACTGCACCAAGGTCGCACCCTGCCAAGCAAGGGATGCCCTTCACTTGTAAGAGCCTTTGGTCTCATCCCCCCTTGCAGTTAAGATGTGTGTGCTCCCAGTAGGCGAGGTAACAGACTTCAGGGGTGGAATCGGGGCTCAGGAGCGACCTGGGCCAAGATGTGTGGAGTGTGCGGAGGCAGCCAGAGTGGTGCTCACCTCCTCCAGCCGCCGCCGCTGCTCCTTCTGCTCTTCTATGCGCTTTTGGCGCTCCGCCAGCAGCTGTCGCTTGTGCTCCTCATTCTCCCGCTGCTGCTGCTCCAGCTGCTGCCGCCGCAGGGCCTCGGACCGCTCCTTGTTGGCCAGCTGCAGCCTCAGGAAGTCTCGCCGCAGTGTGGACTCCCCTGGCAGGTTCAGAATGGAGCTGTGGGCAGGAGAAAGAAATCAGGACCATGGGGCTTAGAGGAGCAGAGAAGGGCAGATCAGGGCAAATAACTCCCCTGTATGCAGCTGAAAAAGCCACACATTCAAGCACAGGCTCTTACATCCTCTGAGTTATAATTACTCACCCCCAAAAGAAACAGAGTCAAGGCCAGAGACCAGTGTCCAGGCTTCCTTTAAGGTGACTATTGCAGACACATGCTGTCACTGTCCCTAGAAGGAGGTCGCATTCCTAGAGTGGCCACCTTACTCCACCACCATCCATACCTCTTCCCACAACCGTCCACATTGTTCTCTCACTCTTGTGACATAGCAAAGATCTGTTTCCACAGATTTTAGTGTCTGTGCAAGCCCCAAGCCCCTGATCAGCTTATGTTCATGTTTAGGAAAGGCAAGAACAAAGCCAGGAGATAAAAATTAATTGGGAGCAGTGGGGAGCCCACTCTGCTTAGAGAAGCACAGGCCACCCTCACTCCCCTCCCCTCACATCCTCGACTGCTATCACCAATGCCCAGGAGGCACAGGGCAGGTGCCCATGGGGGGACGTGGTGAGCTGGGGAGGGGAAGCACTGGATCCAAGGTCGACAGAGCTGGGACCTGAACCCAAGGTGGCCAAGTCCAAGAGTTTAGGACTTGTCTACCTACACCACTGTTAAAGTGAAGTTAAATGGTTTGGTTCTGGCTATAGAGGGTGCACTGCTTTCCTAGGTCCCCTTTAAGCACTGTGAGCCTCATTCTACACCGCCTGTAAAATGGTGACTGCGCATGTGCGTGTGTATATGTGCACGTGTGTGTATGTGCATGTGACAGAGGAACACCAAAAACAATGGTGCCTCGGGGCCGTCTTACTCACCGTCTAACTGTATGTGTGTAACTCAAAGTCTGGGCACAACAGCCTCACAGACAGGTAGAGGGTGGCTCCTACCTGATCATACAAATCTAGCTCTTTTTATCTTTCTGGCAGCTCTCACCTGAAATCAATACATTAACCAATTCTGGAGCGCCTGCTGTGGAACAGGCACTCCATAACAGGCTCTAGTGCATACAGCAGGAGGTAACCGAATTCTCTCTCTAGAGTTATCTTGTGGGGAAAACAGAAAGACAATCAGGCAGAGAGACCAATAAGTACAAATGACATAATTTCAACTATTGATAGGATCTATAGAAGGTAAAGTGTTATAGTTTACAAGTGACAGTGGCAGGGTGCTGGGGTGACAACTCAGGGTTTTGCTTTGGATGGAATGCTCAGGGAAGACCTCTCTGAGACGGTGACAGTTAAGACTCAAATGAAGAAGAATCAGTCATGAGAAGAAGGGGAAGAATATTTGGGGCAGAAGGAAAACAAGTAGAGTTGACCCCTGAACAATGTTGGGGTTAGGGGTGCCGACCACCTCCTTGCACAGTAGAAAATCTATGCATAACTTTTGACTGCCCCCAAAGTTAGTTATTACTCAATAGCCATGAGGGATTGGTTGTACGATCCCCCCACCACCCCCTGCAGACACCAAAATCCAAGGATGTTCAAGTCTCCTTTGTAAATGGCGCAGGTCAATGCATATAGTCGGCCTTACGTATTTACTGACCCCGCACAGTTCAAAACATTTAAGGGTCAACTGTATAGAGCCCTATAGTGGGAACAAGTGTTACCTCTTCAAGTAACTGAACTCCAGCTGGCCTTCTCCAGAGCAGAGTGGGTGACAGGGAGACTGGTACAGAGGGGGTCAGAGAGACAGGGCCATGAGGGTACGGCATATGGCCTTGGAAGCCACACATGGAAAGGTTAAGCAGGAGAGTAATGTGACCTGAACAGAGGACAGTGCAGGGGGTAGGAGGGCAGGCAAGGCCACCAGTTGGGTGGCTTCTGCCGTGGCTCTGGGGTGGAGACTTCAAGGTGGGAATAGAGGGGATGGAGGCTGGGAGAACCGTTTGGGGACAGAGTTAATGAAATCTGTTGGTGGACCTAATGAGTGGAATGAAGGCTGACTTGCAGGTTTGGTTTTGGCACCTGGGCCGTGATGGTGACAACTGACATGGAGACTGCTGGGGGAGAAGCCACACTGGTGGCAGTCAATGAGGTGATCGTTCTGTTTTGGAGAGTGGTTAGCACATTCTATGTGCGATACTACTGCAAAATGATATCAAAGGCCTCCGTTCGTGACATTCCACAGACAATGCTTGGATCCTACTAACAAGCCTTTTCTAAAACCTGCAGTCTTTGTGCAGAATTCTAACAAACTCCAGATAATAATGCTTCAGAAACCTCACGTGCACACGACGATGTCTGTTAACATTAAATGATATTGAATCGATGTCGGGTGACCTGAGCTGTTTACTGACTGAATCATTAACTTGGTATATGACCAGGTTGCCACCCTTGGACTGTTACCTCATCTCTCAAACGAGATAACCACTGTTCCTTCCTACACTTCAGAATTTTACAAAGATTAATTAGATGTATCCATAAAACATGACTTGGAACATAATCTTCAATGTGCTATAATGACAGGTTACAATTATAGAATGTTAAGACGTGGCTAGGTCAGCTCACCAGGTGACTCCTGGCATGCAGGTTAGCAAGCATGAGTTAAAATGGGGCTTTTCAGATCTGGAGAGAGTGATCAGAATGATTGACGTGACCATCTGGGTGAGCTTTGAAAAAATAGCGTACAACCTCTCTGAAGGCAGGGCCCTTGGCCCTTCGTTTCCTGAGAATGATCACTTACCACATCACTACTTGACAGTCATCATATTTATGCAGCTAAGCTGGGAGTGGCCAAGATGTTAAGTATCAGATGGAAGGAAAGAGTTATCTCTCAGTCTTTGACCTTGAGAAGTCCTGTGGCAGGTGAGCAGAGAAAAACTGGGCGGCGCAGCAAGCTCAGTCTCCCTCTGTCCCAGTGGTTTAGTAATAACCCAGCACAGTGGGTCTGAGTTAGCCCCAAAAGGAGCCCAGCAGTGCATTCTAGCAGCAGTGGCTGGGTAGGCCCCTTCCCTGGTCAGGAAGCTCTCCACCTCAGGACAGGAACTGCTGCTTCCTCTGGAGCACCGGGCTCCCCTCCTTAAGTGGCTAACAGATGAAGACCCGCATATCCCAGTGGCACTTCAACATGTGCGTTTTCCCCAGCGAATCCCTTTTACATGGATGTACAGTGTGCCCGCCACGCCGTGTGTGACCGTGCCCCTGGATTCCCAAACAGCTGCCAGCTGAGTTCTCTCACGAAAGAAAATCCTGGCACTGTGAGCACACCAGCATTAATTATTTATAAACAGACTAGAAGAAAGTCAAAATCAAAGTCAAGTGCAATTCAAAGCGTAGAGATGATAATAATGAAGCGGTGCTTGATTCCGGGGTCCAACATGCAACCACAGGAATGGGCATGAAAGTCTCTATTTAGGGTTAGCTTCTGGGGTGTGATTTGATTGTTGCCTCCTGGACTAGGCTGTGGCGAAAACACCAAGGTGTGTGATGAGGACAGTGGCTGCCCAAATGGGCTTCGCAAAGGTACGAAGTAAGGAACTGAATGGTTCAAGTCCAAAAACACCACTTAGGTCTCCTGAAAATGACAGTTTTAGATACTTTTAGCCCTGTATTACCCAGATAGTTGTTTTCTGCCCATTCTACACATTACATGTGTGAGGAAACAAGGTCTTAGAATGCAGACCATAAATCTTGGGCGACAAGATAAAGGATATGTTGATTTCCGCATTTTCCTAAGAGTCTGCCTAGGGAAATTTCCCCAAACTAATGCGAATATTTGTAGGCAATAAATTAGATAAGACCACCATGCTGGATTCTTAAAAACGAACCTATAAATCAACAGGAAGCAAGTTTCACACAAGCAGAATTTGGAATGTAAAAATAAGAACACTTAGCTTTTGCTGTCCTACCTGGGCTCTCCTGAGTCATTCTCCTCCTCTTCTTCCTCACTTCCACTGTACTCATACTCCGTTTCATCTAAAGAGAGACTCAAGGAAGGTTAGTGCACAAAAACGACACCACAGCTCTGCAGAGCCCAACCCCCCTTGCTTTATATATAAGTGAATTGAGGTCCACAGGGTTGTTGACCCTGAACTCCAGGCCTCCTGACTTGAGCTCCAAAAGTTCCCTGCAGCTGAGTTCAAGTACAAGGAATTAACCACATCTAATACTGTCCCAGCCAACTCAAGATTTCTGTCCCTAATGGTGTTCTTCACACGAAACATCAACTTTTAGTTTGTGTTAGTTCATAACGTATAGAACCACCTCAGAGAATCTTTGGCCCACCGTTAACTTCTTGACCATGTTAATCACTGTTCAAATAGAAATTTTAATATGTCTTATGTGGACTCACAAATTGCCTTGAGATATCTCGATAAATACCAGAAAGAACCTTTTGACAATATGTGCTATTAAAAATATAGTTAAGTGTGTTTTGATTGACCCAATTTAATTGGGGACATCCATTTAATTCAATAATATGTTAAGCAACTTAACATGCAATAATGGATAAGACTGCGTCTTTGCTTTGGAGGAAGCTAATGGGCAAGAGGGACAAGTAACAGATTAGAGTCCCCATGGTGATGAAGAAAGGGAACTAGTGTTTGTTGGACCCCTCCCATGCCAGTCACCATGCTAGATACTACATGTGTTCCCCCATTTATTTCTCTTAACAATCCTCTGAAATAATATCCATTTCTCAAATGAAGATACTGAGATTGTAAGTGGTTAAGTAGTATGACCAGTGTCATCTCATTCACAAATTTGGGATTTGGATTTAGAATTCAGTTCAAAACTTTTCCAATTTTAAAACTAGTGTTCTTTCCAACATATTCTGTGCTACATAGAGGTACACAAAAATTGCAATGAGAAAGAAGCAGCGAAGTCTGCTGGGGTAGGGGGAAAGTAAAATCTTTGAGGGGAAATGAGCTGGGCCTTAGAAGGTCAGTGGCCCTTTTCCAGGCAGATGGCACTGAGAGTGGTGAGACAGGGCTTTCTAGGCAATGTAACCACCTGACAGTGGCTGACAGCATCACAGTGCATGGCAGGAAACAATGAGGCGTCAGTGGCTAGATGTCAGGGTGTGAGAAAAGCGGGTGGTGTGCAAAAGGCCAGTAGGTCTTATACGGCTTGCTGATTCCCATATAAAGCATGCTGAGAACTTTTCAGTGGGCAGTGGGGTCGTTCGGTGGAACTTTTGATTTTCATTGAGGTAGGGTGATACCACATTACTATTATCCTTTCATAGCTGTGGATTAGTAATCACAACTTGGAAGGTATTTGCACACCCCTAAGAAGGAACTAAAACTGCAATTTGGTTATATTGCCACCAGGGGCAGCAGATACATGCTGAGGACTACAGCACTTGATCCTCGATCATGAACTTGAACACACCTTGCCTTCCATACCATTTAGCCATTAAAGGGATAAAAAAAAAAAAAATGAAGCCAAAAGTGTGATGACTTTAAGAGTATTTTTTAAAATCATAAGTTAACTTCACATACTCATATTTAGGCCACTCATGAAATGTAAAGAACCTTTATAAAGTGTTTCAATATTCTACATTAAAAGTTTAATATTCCAAACTTTCCTGCAATGAATCAACAGAGTCCAAAGTAAAATGTAAAAATTTCATCTGTTAAGGAAAATGACAGCAAGGAAAAAAGTGCTCAATTAATCGAATTATTTTTATTCTCTAGGGTAAAACCTTCATTTATCAGCCTCCTTAATTATCATATTTCTCCAGAATCTGGCTTGATTGCTTTTGTATTACTGGCTTAAATTAGCATGTGTCAACATATTTTAAGGAAAAGGTATGAAGTAAAAATATCATAAAGCAATGCACTTTATAATTGTTTGATTCTGCGGTGGTTACCAGAAGGAAAGGGGGGGGGTTGGGGAAGGTAGAAGAGGGTCAAGGGGTCAAACATATCATGATAGAAGGAGACTTGATTTTGGATGATGAACATGATGCAATATACTGACCACATGTTACAGAAATGTAAACTTGAAACTAGCATCATCTTATTAACCAATGTCACCCTACTAAAAGCAATCAAATTTTAAAAACTTTGTTTGATTCAACCAAAAGCTGGTCTTAGAGCTACTAAGAGTAAAATAGTATTGAAGGGAGCAAGTTAAGTCATTTGGCTAAACCGAGCAAATGGAAGCAGATCTCATTCAATCAATGCTCCTCCTTGGGGAACAGAATGAAATGGGCTCTGAGTTTCAACAGCAGCAGGTTCCTTAGAGGACCATGGAATGGCTGAGTGTACCTACCACCTAAAGTGTTACTCTTCTACTTTGCAGAGAAGGAACACATTAAAAATAGTCTGTTTTATTTTTATGGGATAGAGAGTTCTGACTCACATTGCAGAGTTTGTGCCACCAAAATGTGAAAACAACCCAAGGTTCAAACTTTATCCATTCCTACCAGTCAGGGGCAGAGAGGTCAGAGGTTCTTAGAAAGTAACCCTGAACAGTACTGGAAAATTACAGGTCAATAAAGAATTGTCTAAATAAAAACAGCTAATATTTACCGAGGATGTCCACGTGCCAGACATCGTATTAAGAAATGTACCTGCACTGTCACATTTAATCTTTGCAACAATGCCAGGCAATCCTAGTCAGCATTAAAAACCTAGTCCTATTTTAAAGATCAGGAAACTGGGCTGAAGCTCAAGTAACTATTAAAGGGTAGAGCTAGACTTGAACTCAGAATCTGAGTCTGAAAACAAGATTCTGAGCCCTTAACCTACTTTCTATACCCAGAGTAAATGAAGTTTCCTTTTTCAAGAAGGTGACCTTCAATGGCTGCATGCCTGACATACCACCTCAGAATACCCCCCGTAAGATTTTGACTTCACTGAGTGGCCCACGGCCCCCATTAGGAAAGAAGCCTGGCCGCCTCTTTTCTTGCACCGAGGCTAGAAGAACCTTCGCTCTGACTTCCAAATAACTAAATCAGAAATGAGCCTCACAGCACAACAACGTAAATGTTCAAAACTGCCAGTACAGAAAAATGTCAACTAGATTTTTTTAGGCTGTCTGTCTCCTGTAGATTTTTAGCCTTCAAAACATGAATATTCATTTGAATTAAGAAAGCTGCTTGTCATATTAACCTGCTCCATAGCATCACTCGACATGCCTCTTTTTGTTCAGCGCCTGAAAAAGGTAGTATTTCCTGCAGTTCTGTTCTCCCACGAAAGACTCCAGCCGGGGCTGTGGCACTCCACCAAGGCCCACAGGCTGTGACCTCGGAGGCAGCCCCTCACACCGAAGAATAATGCAGGCGCCTTTGAAATCCCCATGGTTATGTTCAAATACGTCAAGAGCCCAGGACTCACTCCATCTTTTGTTTCCCTTGTTGAAATACAAATGTGCTTCTAACCTTTCTCTCCTCGTTTCTTCTTTGTTCTATCAATATGGTCCTTGAGTTGAATGCGGACCTGTCGTTCATTAGGCTGGTCTCGTATAAATGGATGCTTCATCAGTTGCTCTGTTGCTGGTCGCTGGCTGTGATTCTTTACCAAGCAGCTCTCAATAAATGACTGAAATTTTTTCGACCTGTCAAACAAAAGAGATGAAGCACAGATTAAAAGACAGTCCAAAGAAAGGCAAACATGTTTTTGTGAAATGTTAGAATTAAAAAAATAGAAAAATAGGTCCAACCGGCCACCATCAAGATCAACCCATCACAAAGTAGGTCTAGCCCTTAATTAGGCACAGCGGGTTCACTGGCATCATCACCATCCACACACAATCCATGGCAGTGATATATGGGAAAGGATGTATATCTTTGCACAGTTTATACATAATATCTCACAGAAAACCAAAAGAAACTGGAGACTCAAAAGACCCTGCTGGGAATCATACCTGGAAGTTCTATTGGAATGAGAGAACCAGATCCAGGTCTTAGAGGATTAGGAGGAAATCACTGTGGGGAAAGGACAGCTCAGGGAGGCATAAAATCAGTGAAAAACTACAGCCAGGAGTGAGCTCATTTCATGTCAGGGGGCACTGAAGTGGGTTTTCTAAATGGCAGCAAATGCAAGCTGGGAAAAGTGAAATCAAGGTTGGGTAGGGGAGTCTATTTGGCAAAAATGAGCAAGATTATTCTATGGCAAAAGAACTTGATTTGGAGAAAAAAAATAGCTGGTAATTTCAGACTCACTTTTGAACTTTGCTTTCCAATTCAAAAGAACAGGATGTGTGTATGTATTTGCTTGCTATCAACCCCAAGGACTTGGACTTAACTTTAAGGGACTAAGTTCATAACCAGAAGCAAATTATCTCCATCTTGAAAGGTAGTATTTCTGCAAAGATAAACCCTATGCCACAGAAACACAGGGTCAGGGGAGCTGATGAGAGATACCACACCAGTGATTAGGGCAGCAAGTACACAGTGTGGCAGAAATCAACAATGGACTTTAGCTATGATTTATGAGTTGATCATGCACATTTTTGCTGAATTTATTACTTTCCAGAATGATAAATAATTAAGCTCATGACTCCACAGCATGCCTTTCTAAGACGTTCCACAGCCCATCACCCTCCAATACCTTGGCCAAACCCTGGTTACCCTCTGCTCAGAGCTGGAGGGTAATCTGTTTTTTGCTCTCTGTCGCCCTCTTGTGAAGCACTGTGGAGTTACAGGAGCAGATTCCAAGAGCAAGCCTTCCCAAGTTTCTCAGGAGGCTGGGTGCATGCCTGTGTGTGTTTGTGTGTATGTTTACTTAAGGCCAGAAAAGTATCCTCACCACTCAGAACACAATGGTGAGAGTCTTCACCAAGATTCAAATGCAAAAGGACATTCGCACATGCACCACTTCAGTTTTGCCAAGGTCAAAGCAGTTTTTCATCTTTTTTCATGTTTTTTTTTTAATCAATCACTTTATTGTTGTTCAATTCCATGTTTTTAAAGTACCAAATGATACTTTATTTTTTCCTCCCTACATTTCTAAGCTATGTTCAAGCTTTTAAATTACTTTACACAGAAGTAAAGGCAACCTGCTATGCTTGGGGCTGCCCCAGGAGGAATCAGGATTGGACCCAAACCAGCAAGGACTAGATGGACCCGCTGCGCCTCCCTCCCAGTGCTCAGTCCCCGCCTGTGCCGCCACACTGGTGGCAGTCCTCAGTGTTTGCATGTGCTTGAGTCCTATTGGTGCGATGAGCACACTCCCTGCTCCTATGTATTTGCTAAACCTAAACGCATGGAGGGTTATCGGATGAGAGTTCTGCACAAGAGCTGTCATAGGGTCACCTTCAAATCTGTGCTCACGAGGGACAAAATATTGTTGGGTTGGCTTTCTCTCTCAGATCCATTAGATAAACATGTGGAGGCAAAATATGGTATCATCTACAGACAAACCTTGTGCAAAACAAACAAACAAACAAACAAACCTATAAGGAATAAACTGAAGAGTTTAAAAAATACACAGATTCCACACGGTGCTTCTCTAGGTAGAAAGCCCTTATTGTGACAGTATGGATGGAGCTGGAGAACATTATGCTAAGTGAAATAAGCCAGTCAGAGAAAGACAAGTACCATACGATCTCACTTATATATGGAATCTAATGAACAAACTGAATTAACAAGGAAAATGGGGACAGACTCATAGATGGAGGGCAGGATGACAGCTAGTTGGAAGGTGGAGGTGAGGGGCTGGAGGGATGGAACATACAAGGAAAAGGACTCATGGTCACAGACAACTGTGTGGTGATTGCTGGGGGAGGGAGAGAGTACGAGGGGACTAAATGGTAATGGGAAAAACATACAATTAAGATTAAATTTTAGAAAACAAAAAAAGAGAAAATCCCCATTAGAAAGATGAAAACAAATTCAGACAGAAAACTATTTAATATTCATGAAGAATGCAAATGGAAGTTTTCTTTTTTTTCTGCTTGCAACTAGAAGGAAGTGCTCATTTTTTATAAAGTGGTGGGCTATTAATTAGAGGATGATAAATAAGTCACATCCAATTTAAAAATGAGATCCAGACTTAATAGACTGTCCATGCTATTTCCCAATACTGAAACCTCAAAAAGTCAGAAAAATCTCCAGGATGAGAATGTGTTCAAGAAGTTTCATGGAACCAGCCTGGTACAGGGTCATTTTTCCAGAATCTCTCCTGGTGGGAAATAACCTCAAGAGAATAACTGTGGGCCCGAAGGGTGGGCCAAGGATGCACAACCACAAAGCTAAGAAAGTATCCCACATCTGCAAATGGTACTGTGTCTGAAGAGAAAATAATGCTTACATACCAGTCTTCAAAGAGATCCGTTGTCTCTTATTTAAATTAGTGTGACCAAAGAATCAATATACTTAATTACACACTTAATTAAAACTAAAAACACTTCACTTATGTTGAATACCACCTGGCTGTTTGCTGAGTGGTCTTAAGGGTTTAAAGTACATTTACATGACTTTATTGTTAGAATCTCTGCTGCTAGTGCTTTAATTCTGACTTTTTTAAAAGAAATGCCTAAGATTAGTTATACTAATTTCCCCAGGGTTGGCATGCAAAGACAGATATTAGTGACCGGTGCATATAGTCTGAGGCACTGGTTCTTATAATACCAATGTCGCTGAACGCTTCATCCTCCCAGTTTTCCCTGATTATGTATTAAATTGTGTTAAAGGAATTAAACATGCCTGAAAGAGTATTACTTTAATCATTATGACCAGCCAGGCTAAAAGGTTTTTTTTATGTTTATCCTTATTTATTTGTTACTCTCAGAAGTCCTCATTTTGGCTGGACTCAGAGGTAGAAGCTCTCGGAGAGGACAGCCTGCGTCTCCTGGCAATTTGTTCCTGGCGTTTTTCCTTGGCCTCCTTCATCCTCTTAGTCAAAAGTTTAGCATGCTCTGCAGCCTCCTCCTTATTTTTCTTTGTACGTTGCTTCTTCAGAGCAGTACGCCGATGTTTGTGTTGCAGGACACATGGGGTAACAAGACACTGAATCTTAGGTGCTTTGGTTCTGGGTTTTTTTACTTTCCCTGTTTAGGGACTTTCTCACAACATATTGGCGGACATCATCTTCTTTAAAGAGGTTGAAAAGTTTGTGGATTCTGCTAGTTCTTTCGGGCCCCAGGAGACGAGGCACAGTAGTATCAGTGAGACCAGGACTGTCTTTCTCCCCCCCTTTTTTTTTTACAATGACTGAGTTGAGAACACTAAGGCTGGCATGCACAGTGCCACCCCGAACTGATTTGCGCTTTCGCTCTCCAGTTCTCCTTGATCGGTGAGGTAACAGGAGTGCCCCTTGCTCAGCAGCAGGCGGACGCGGCCATGGGTGGAGACCCCCTGCTTCGTGGGGAAACCTTGTTTGTCATTCCCACCACTGATTCGAACCACACAACACTTCCACTCTTCACCCAGAGCATCAGCAGCAGCTTCTGTGGCCATACACTTCTCCTAAAGCATATGAAGTTTGCGTTCATCATCCACTTCAATGAGTTTCTGACAGCCAGTGGCTGGGAAAGAGATGTTCAACGTCATCTTGAACTGCCTCTCAGATGCCATGGAAAAGAGGACTCCCAGGCTAAAAGTTTTTGGTAATCACAGGACTGACTCCCTAAAGGCAATTTGACCTTTAAAATTTGTTTTTGCTCCAGAACTATTCTGTTTTTCTACTTTGGCCTCCATCACTTACTGTGTGATTTTGCAAGAATTGCTTAACTTCTCTGTGCCTCAGGTCCCCTGGCTGCAAATGGGGATGTTGTTAAGTACTTATCTCAAAAGACTATTGTGATAATTAAATAAGTTAATTCATGTAACATGCTTACGACAGTGTCTGTTACATGTATGTACATGTATTTACACACATGAAAGCTGTAGGTGCATCTACGGTTACTGCTGTTATTATTACTACTATGATGATGACAATACCCCAGTGACCTCTAGCTATTACCGGGCTTAGAGAACAAGAGTGTCTGTCTTTGGGGCGGGGAGTAGAGATTTAGATGGTTTCCCCCCATTTCCGTTGAGCTGAATAGTAGGGTTCTTTAAGGGAAGTATTTCATGTATATTTGGATTAGACATTCTAGCAAGAAGAATCAACAGGACCGTTACCTCCAAAGAGACTGCAAGAAAGGTTAATTGAGAAAGGTCATGCAGCAATTTTTGTTTTGATTTGATAAAGTCCAAAGTCACACTATTACTAGCAAATCCAGTCTATTTGAAGTATTTTATGAATTTGCTATTATCACTCTATTACTTAGAACACACACGCAGCTTTGTCATTCCCTAAAACAAAAGTGCCTGGTGACCCACACAATCAGAACTGGTGTTTCATAAAATAAGAGGAGGCACTGTAAGCTCTGGAGTAAAAGCAGAAGGCCGGGGGGTTCCAGGCTGGCTCTCTCGGGGATGAGCCTGGGGCTCCGGACAAGCCACTTAACGTCACCAGGCCTCGCAGCCTTCAGCCAAAGCCCAAGTGGGAATCTTTGCGTCTTTCTGGAAATAAGAAATTACAATTCTTCTAATGATCTCAGTTGAGCATTGCTTTGTCCGTGTAGAATCTTCGAATTCAAAGGGCACACAAAAAGAACAAGACCAACTGTCTTTCATGGGAACAAAGTCGTCTCCATCTTCCTCCAGAAACTCCTGGAAGGAAACTGCAGCACTGAGTACGTGTGTGAGGGCAGGGGTGTGGGCGTACATGGCGGGAGGAGAAGGGGGGAGGACATCTTTTGTAGGAGACGGTTGGCCCATCTCGGTTGACTCCAACCACATGCAGAGACAGGGGGAGGACATGTGAGTCCCAAATCACTGTCCATTTGCTGGTGGGGTCATGGAGCTAGAAGGTGAGGACATCCTTCCTCTCTTCTATTCAACCAAGGGGACGAAGTAGCAAATGACCGAGACAGCTCAACCCGGAATGGAGACCCTGACCTCATGACTTCCTCAGCTCTTAGGCACAGGTGGCAAACACAAGACCAGTGGACCAAAGCAGGCCCTCCTCCACCTTGTTCTATCTGCCTGGCACCTTGTTTCTACCTGGCAGCATCGCTGAGCTCTGGCTTAACTGTTAAGGAGCAGTTACATTTATACAGTCCTGAAATTACATTCAGCCCTTTGAAGGCAACTGTGAGGCTGACGTGGCCCCCAGTGAAAATGAGTCTGACGCCCCCGCTAAGGTTTCTCCTCCTCACGTTGCTGGGACATGAAGGGCCAGGGTCCTGCGAGGAGAGATGCTTTCCTTGTGTTTATAGTGAAAGGGGCAAGAGCAGTGCTATTGCCATTCTTTTCCCAATAGTAAGGTGCAAGGAAAAGACATGCAACTTAGAGGCTGGTGGAGCTCACTCTCTACCACTTTAACCTTGAACTTAAGAGGCCGAGTGGTGCAGTAGGAGGAATGTGGGTTACAAACTCGGAAAACTAAAAGACTGTATATCCTTGTGCAAGGAGTATGACCTACCTGAGCCTGTATCTGATCAATAAAATGAGGACTCAGAGCATCTGCCTGGCAAGGTTGTGGCTTAGATTATATATGTATCTTATTTTTACACACACGTTACTGAGCCTACAACATACATATTTCTTATATCCTTTGTGTGTTGCGGATTCAGCAATGTTAGTTGTTAAGTACCTTGACATAATGAAGAGTTCATGACCAATCTCTACCACAACAGCGCCCCCATTTGGTAATACGTTCACATTACACTGAGAGCAGTGTACCTCCTCTGATAATTCATTTAGGTAGAGAACAGTTGGATATAAAAAAACAATTTGGAGTTTTGTTTCTTTTGATGTGGCATGGATGTTCCCTCTCTTAAAAACTTAGAGAAAAATAAAATGCTTTTTCTCCTCCCAAACCCTAGAGCATGTTAAAGCACACCTCATTTTAAATCCCTGTGGATCTGGTTCTTCCGGACAGAGTAAAGCAGCCCTTGAACAAGAGCATTTTGAACTGCACAGGTTCGCTTATATGTGAATTTTTTTCAGTATAGAGCTGGCTCTCCATATACCTGAGTTTTGCATCCATGGATTCAACCAATAGTAGGTACGGAGGGCTGACTGTATGCCTTGGGTTGTGCCACTTTAGACAGGGACTTGAGCATTTGCAGGGGTCCTAGAACCAACCCCTCCAGGATATCAAGGAACCACTGCAATTAAGTTTTTAGGGGAGTCAAAAGTTTTGTGTGGATCGACTGCACAAGGGTCAGCACCCCGACCGTGGTACAAGGGTCAACTGCACTCTGAAGTGCTGAAGTATTTTCACTTAGAAACTGGAATTCTATCTGGGAAAGTGGGAGTCTCCCTGAGTGCCCTGTGGCTGGACCGGCACCCACCTCGGCAAGGCCAGGCCCTGTGGGCCACAGGGTGCTTCACCAGGGCTCACCAGCCAGTGGCCGAGCTACCTTCCCTTTCCCTGTCCAACGGTGTGGCACTCATCCCCCCGAGTCCTGGAGGGCCAGGTCGGGGGCTGGGTGACATGACACTGGCCTGGCCGCCTCACTGTTCCCGGACTGACCAGCTCCCTGTGGCATCATCAAAATTCTCGTTGTCTGAGGTTTGAAGCAGAAAGGACGGACTGACTGTGTGTTCCACAAAGTCTGTATTTCTCAAACAAGGTCAGTGCAGGGCTGATTTTTTTGGAACAATGAAAACTAAGACCACAGTACAGGAGCCGTTCACTCACTCTTCTGAGGCACTAGGCAGGCCACGCAAAGGGCAGTGCAGGCCAGGTTAAGAGAAAACAGGACAAGTGCTGTGATCAATCGACTCCAGCTTCTGAGCTGGGGAGAGGTGACTTCTGGGGCAGAAGGACAATGTCTTACCCTAGAGGGCAGAGGGGCCCTCGGCAGGGTAGCACTGCATCACCTTTGCACACAAGGCCAGACATCTGAATGTTATGCTCCATCCCCAGATCTGCAACACCTGGTGATTAATACAAATGTTTCTGAAACATGGTGTGGCTGCTCAAACAAAACCTATGTGCGGATGGCCCACTGGTCCTCTGTGGGAGGGCTGGAAACACCTGCCCAGTGGCCGTGCAGGGAGATGAGAAGGGAACAGGGTGAGTGAAGCCCGCTGTGTACAGCAGGCCCCCTGGGGAGGCTGGGAGTGAAGGACAAGCAGAAACCTAGTGCCACTGACACTTCCAGGCAACAGAACTGAGCTGCCTCCTCTGCCCAGGAGCCTGTTGCAGGGAGAAAGTAGGAAGCAGGGCCTGGACACCCTGGCAATCACATGCTGTGCCGGTGCCCAATGGAAGGCTGTTGCTGGGGAGAGAATGGTCCTCTCACACCACAGTGACCCCCTAGAGAGAGAGGCAGGAGCGGAGAACGCTCTGCCTCCTTGTTACCAATAGCAACTCTCACTCTCTCTTCCTGCAGCCTTGGCAACTCCAGGGCTGCCATCCCTACTGGCTGCCTCCTTCCCTTTCTCGGTGCAGTGTGCCTTCCTCTTGTTCACTGGCATTGCTCCGCTGTTCCTAGATGACTGCTGTTAACCGAGACTGTGCTCCACATAGAAGTGTGAAATTGTGAGTGGGTGGGGGGAAAACAGCATGGCTCCAGTCAAGGGCCTGACCATGAAGTGGCACGACAGGGGGCAGGAGTGTCTGTCCCTTCATGCTCTAACTGCCCAGAGTATGTCTCTAGAAAAGGACAGGAGGTCACAGGAGGTCCAGGCATTGGCCCAGTGCAAGGGGACTCGGAGGTTCGAGAATGCAGCAGGAAGGATGCACTGAAGCCACCAGGGTAAAAGGCGGGAGCACTGCATTTTTGTTACAGACTGATTAGGCACACAGACCGTGATACAAGTACAACGTGCCAGAAGTCCAAGTTCTGCCTGACCTGTCAAACTCTGCTTCCCAAAATTCAGGCAATCATACACAACTGACACAATTTTTCACCAAACCCTTCCACCACCCGTCCTCGAATTCATTTAGTATTTTTCTCTAAGTCACTTTTTCATGTGAATAACTTTATTAAATGGGAAGGCTATATTGCTACCCAAATCAAGAAGCCAATATTGCCTGCCATGAAGAGAAAGCAATAGAAAACCAAAAATTACCAATGTTCATGCACAGACCCATTAAATCATCTCACATACTACCAGGTATGTGTATGCGCTTAGAGAATTACTGTCTTGAAAAGTAGAAGTCAGTCAGCCTGACTCTTTGAACTATCGCCCTCTAGTCTGAGACATTCTGTGCTGCCAGAAAAGAGATTGCTTGGGTTCCAGCATCCATTGTAGCTAAGAGCTCCTTATCTTAACGGCATGGGGTAAAGACTTGCTGTGCAAACACAGGAGACCCCCTTACCCACGGGGGCATGTTCTGAGACCCCCAGTGGATGCCTGAACCCACAGACAGCAGAGAACCCTGGAGAGATGATGTTCTTTCCTGTACACACATGCATGCCTATGATAAAGCTGAATTTATAAATCAGGTACAGTAAGAGATTAACAACAATAACGAAAAAGAACAATCGTAACAATAACTGCAATGAAAGTTATGTGAATGTGTTGCTCAAAATATCTCACTGTGAAGCACTCACTTTTCTTTTCCATAAGATGATGGGAGAAGACTCAGTCCCATCGATGAGATGTGGTGAGGTGACTGACATGGACACTGTAGCACAGAGCCAGGCTACAGAGGATCGCCTGCTTCTGGGAATTCTGGATCATCAGGCCATGAAATGTCAATGGCTGGGGAAACTGAACCCTTCCGGACAGCAGTTGACCATGAGTAACTGAAACCTCAGAGAGGGAATCCATGGCCTAGGGGGACTGCTGTAGTAACTCCATGTGTATTTCACTCAATAAGATGTTCCACTCACACGTAAAATCACTTACCAAGTCCTAGTGTACACAGTCTAATCCTGTCAGCAGGACCTAAATATTTGAGTTAATCCAAAAAAGAATCACAGGAAACCCCGCCCTTGGATCTGTAAAACACTGAAGCCCAAACTCACCACTTCTTAGACTTCAGCCGAGGCGCTGGGTTCCGGGGGATGAGGAAGAGAGCTCTCATTGGGTGCATGTCACAGAGAGCTGCAAGAGACCAAAACAGGGGCCAGCTCCAGTGAAGAGGCCGAACTCACGCCAAGTTCGTCCTGGCTGTGCAGCCAAGGCTGCCAAATGGCTCCCTGAGTCCACGCATGACCAGTGAGCAGAGTCAGGAGAGCACAGAGCTTCCATCTGGTGAGCACTGAAAAGAGCTGATCTCTAAGTACAGGAGTCTCTTAAAATACAACACATGTCAGCCAGAGAGTAGCATCTCTACTTTGACTTTATAATTAAGGAAACACAGTTAAATGGTCAATGAGGTTTGCTTTGCTATAAATAAGCATCTAAGATTCCAAGTGAACAACATCAAGATAACCACTCAATGGAAATGGTAAGTTATTTTAGTTAGTAAAGCTAAGTGTTAATAATAGAGGATTTTTGATAATCTATGGTATGTTTTTTATACATTCTCATCCAAATGCAATGTTATCTACATAGATTTTTGAGTGTAAAACACTACACCAGACACTGTTCTCTGTATATCCAGAAGGACTTTCCAGGTTTTCTGATAAGTTTTTGTTTTGTTTCATTCCCTGGCCCCAGGTAGACCAGGGGATCAAAGCAAATGAAGTCTGGCAGGAAAATGAGAAGACTATCTCAACTTGTAAACATGGTATTATTGTTTATAGTGAAAGCACTCAAACATTCTTCTTTTAATCGAAGTATCTCACTAGTTTACTTTTCAAATATCTGGGAGTATCTTTTCCTTTGTGTCTAGAAGAAGAATCTAATCTCCCTAAAAGCTGAAGAATTCTGTGGGTTGAAACTTATTTTTAGCCTCTTCAACTACTCGTCGAGAATGGTAATATGGTTTAAAGACTGTAATACATTGTTTTTATGATTTATAAATGAGAATTGTGGATGAAGGGAAATTTGTCAACAAAGACTCCAAATCAATCATGCTACAGATGAATTCTAACTCTAGAGTGAGAAATAAAAAAGCCATAATGACTTGAAGGTTAAAAAAAATCCTTTGAGCAAAACAACCTGTCATGCAAATAGGGGGCCTCTGAAAAGCAGGTACCAAGGTGTTATTAAACGTGAGAAAGGGAAATTTCTGCCTCAAAGGAAGTGGGGAGGAAGCCAGGGAAGGCTGGGAGAGTCATTGGTTTGCTATGCAAGTCTGATTGGCATGAAGGTGAGAGGGAGACACAGTAGGCAGAAGTGTGCTAGACTGTCCTACAGTCTAAGGAAACTAAGGGATGATAAAACGGAGGAAAGTTGCCTGCAAAGAAAGGAAGCCTGTGTCTTCCAGGATAAGCTCTGCTGCCTTATGTCCATGTTGTGCTCAGTCACTGATGGGGAGGGGTCCCTGGCAGGTGCACCTCACTGCCATGCAGCAGCGAGGCTCTTGGTCAGTGGCATGGCCACCCAGGCCTGCCTGGTACAGGTGCTGTGCAGGGCCAATATCTCAGATCTCAAGGATCTGAGAGCTTCTCCAGAGAGCCAGAGCCCGGGCCATGCAGCCTGAAATACATAGGGAAGTCTAAAAATCTAAACATCAGTGTTCCAATAGGAGTGAAAGCCCCTGAGTGTAATGTTTCTGTGACACACGCACTAAAAATCAGCTTTGAATTTTTGTTGGAGCTTATGGTCTTAGTGGTTTACCTCAGTTTTATGGTAGGTAGATGAAGGGTAGTTCAAGAATCAACTGCACACTGAATCTGTACAATAAACAAGTCTCCCCAAAGTTTGCCTCCCTTTTCTTTTTTTCCATCATAAATTTAAGATCCTCACACCACTCAGAAATGAATGGATTCCTGGTTGATTTAAGGACTATGCTTTCTAAATATGCCAGCTCGATTCCATGCAGGGCTTGGCCTAGCGGAAGTAAAGCTACTGCGGCTCCTGGCAAGGAGGCTCCAGTGCCCGCAGAGCAGACCAGCAGCAAAGCCCACCCGCAGGAAGGTACTTACGGGGAGCACCTTCTGCCATCTCGATAGCGGTGATTCCCAGAGACCACAGGTCACTCTGGAAGAGAAGGGAGGCAGAGACACAGGCATCAGTGCAGCGAACAGAGGGTGACTGGTTAAGCCTGGTAAATGCTTCAGAACTGCCCGTGGGAAAGACGGTCGGTCGCCTCTTTACAAACTTATTTCAGCCACGAAGCTTAAAAGTGGGAACCTCATTCATTTTCATTGACGACAATACCTTTCACGGTGCCTGACGCATAGTGAGTTTTCAATAGATGTGTGGAAAATGAATATATGGTTAAAAATTAATTTATCACTACTTTGGGTGGTAAACACACAATACAATGTATAGATGATGCATTATAGAACTGTACACCTGAAACCTATATAATTTTATTAAATGCCACCCCAATAAATTCAGTAAAAATTAATTTAGCACTAAAATTTATCTATTGCTTGAACCATATGAAATTGCTGCTATTTGACTGTTTTTCATGCTGTTATCAAGGTATAAGTTTCATTTAACTACCTATGTGTAAAGTATACCATTTGAAAAGGTTTGACATACATATACACCAGTGAAACCACCACTACAATCAGATAATACACATCACCATCATCCCACAGAGGTTCCACTTGCCCCTTTGTAGTATCTTCTTTCTGCACTGCTTATCTCCAAACCCCAGGTTCTAATCCAAGAGAAGGACTCATCTACTTTCTGTCACTATGGATTAGTTTGCATCTTGTAAAGTTTTATGTAAATGAAGTCATCTGGTTTTTTTCACTTAGCATATGTATTTAAGGTCCATCCATGTCCTAGCGTGCACTTACTACTTCATTCCTTTTTATTGCTGAGTTGTGTCCCATTGCAAGGATATACTACAGTTTATCCACTCACTTGTTGGTGAACATTTGGATGGTTTCCATTCTGAGCTGTTACAAATACAGCTGCTACATTCATCATAAGTCTTTGTATGAATATCTGCTTTTACTGTTTTTTTTTAAAGTAACTACTCAGGCATGAAATGGCTGGCTCATTAGTTGATGCGTACAGGACGGGGGAGGGCAAAAGTAGGTTTACAATGCTGTGACTGTGCAAAACAGAGTTTATTCTCGTGTTATTATTTACTAAGCATTGTACTAACTGTAAACCTACTTTTGCCCCACCCTGTATTAAGAGGCAAATTTTTAAACATAGAAAACTGACAATTTCATGTGGTTTAACCAAAACTGGGAAACTTTTGGATGGTGGTGTTTGCTGATGTATTTCCACTGCTTAGAACTGAGCCAGGCACAGTTGCAGGAGCCAGGCATCATGTATCTCTTGAATGAATGAACAATATCGTCTTGTAAATAGACTAATATGTAAATAGAGATTTATACCCTTATATTCATTCTTATTATACTCAGACTGATTCTGATGTTCTTACCAGAGTTTTCTAGGCTAGCACCTCAACCTGTACCTGTGCAATCTCCATCCTTATGCCACGTTTGTTCCCCACTAAGTGTCTATGGCTCAGTAGCCTCTAAATATTGTACAAGAGGGAGTAACTCAAGAGATGGGGAAAACCAAATTAGAAAACCCCCGAAAGATACTTGCTCCTTCAGCTACCCAGTTAGATGGCACAATGTGGAATTGGTTTCAATGGCCCACAACCCTGATGAGGACTCTCACCCTCTGACTTTACATGTAGCCTGCATTTTGGATGCTATTCTCAATTTTCAGCGGTAACCTCACTCAAATTATACAGAGATCAAAGTTAAATTCAGTTTTCTTGCAATTCTCATCAAACAAATGTTAAGGTCACATGAAGAGCAGACATACCTGTCAGAGAACTATGGAATCCATGCTGAGTTGTTCCCCAGAACTAAACTTCTCAATAACCTGTGAGTGACACCCACTCTCATTTGGTATTTGGACAGAGGCCCATACAATGTGGAGGGAGCTTACTACAGGGTCTAGCCTCTTGCCTAACATGCAATCACCTTAGAGCAGGTGGCTGGGGCACATACTACTTTAGAACCCGGGAGGGATTCTTTAATTCATGAGCCTGTCGACCTGTTCCCATAAATGTTGCAAGTTCTCAGCCCAAAGGGGGATAACAACACACCTGCGTAATACACTGTTCTCAGATTCCAAGTAACTTCTCTGCATGGAACATAACTAGGAAAGGCAACTCTTGTCCTTTGTCTATGTTACCTTTCAAGATGCATTCAAAGTTGTCATTAAACACACACTCACACTCACAGTTGGCATGGCCCAGCAAGTCACTGAGTGTTTCTACAGTCTCCTGGCCCTGCTTCGTTAGTGAGGATCCTACCGGAGCTAAAGGGAAAGGCCTGGTCCTCCTATTATAGGTTGGCTCAGCAGCAGTAACTGGTAAAGGTAAAAACATAGCTCCCTTGAACTTGAGGTTTTATGGTTGATTGATACAGACAACATTCTGGGAACATGAAACAATGAGTTGCTCACTGTGCAGGAGGCATTACACAGGAAGCACAGCAAGAACAGCCCGGAAATGGCAGGTTGCGCTCCTGTGGAAACATTCCAGTATCTCCAGGCCTCGACAACTCTGCCGTCATTCCCCCAACACCTCTAGGAGTTGAGCGGTTCTGTACTGTGAAATGAGGTGCAGATATGGAGGTGAGTCTGCCTACAAACCCCCATCCACCAAAGCAGGGCTGAATTCAAATGGCCTTCAAGTCTAGGAAGCTTGAGCCAGTTGCATTTAAAAGGAAATAATGGCTCTGTGGTGATAAGGGACCAGGCTGGTCCTCCGATGGAGAAAGAAAATGCTCAGGAGACTCAGGCCAACTCCTGCCTTTGGGTCTTTGCTCTAGCTGCTCCCTCATCTGTAGCAACAGCTCCCATGATGTGCTCGCCATGAGGACGCCTGTGCTCTCCTGAGCACGGCCAGTGTCCCGCTTTTCCACCTTTGTCCTGCACAAAACTGATATCCTTCTAAACAGCTGTGTAACTTACTCATCATGAATTTGTTGTATTTTGTGTTTACTGTTTGCACCCCCTATGGACAACACGCGCATGCAGGAACGCAAGGGCAGGCATCTTTGCTTGGTTGGGTGGTGTACTCTGTGTACCTTGCACAGTGCCTACTAGCACATAGTAGGCACTTAATAAGTATTTGTTAAATAAGTAAACAAATGAAAGCTACATGAGAGACAGGAGCAAAGCTGAAGTGTTCTAAGGCTATGAAATGCCTCGTAGAGCACCCAGTCCAGTGACTTTTCAACCTGCTTCGTCTCACGGCGCACACAACTAGGCACTAAAATTCTGCAGCTCACCAAAAAATATATTAATTCTTTGCTGATCTGACCAAAAAAAGTATAATTTTGACTCACTTATACCGAACGGCTATTTTTGTGTTGGCTATTGTCATTTTTCAAAAAATTTGACGAATCTAAGGAAAAGAGGTCAGTGCCCCTGACTCAGGTATTGAATATTTTAACAACTCTTGTGGCACACCAGTTAAAAATAGGTGATCTAGTCTAATCTTTCATTTCACAGATGAGGAGAAATGACTTATACGAGACCACAGAGTCACTCAGCACCCAGTTTTGAACAGAGCTGGTGTCCTGCCTCCCAGGCCAGTTCTCCGTCACCTGCCACCACAGCAGAAGGACCTGACTACCAAATTTTAAAAAAAATGTATCTGGGTCCATAAAATAAGATAGATTCTTACTTTGTCTACATGTCACTGAAGGCGTTGAGACTCCACGAAGCACCGCGTAGACCAATGCAAGGAAACTGGCCTCAACTTCTCAGAGGCGGCATGAAGAGTCTTCTGAGTCGGACAGACCTGGATTCAGATCTGGGCTCCTGAACGCACTGCTTGGAGCTTCCCTTCCTGACCTGCACTACGGATTTGGTGACATGTCTATAAGCAGGCGGCCCGCCCAGCACAGAATCTGGCACTCAGTGGCCTTGACCATATTAATCTCCTTCTCTGCTACTGTTAGGTGAGACTGCCTTTGCCTGTGCAATCGAATCTTCTGATTAAATTGTCCTCCTATTTGGTTGTGGCAGGCACTGTTTGTTGGCTAACCCATCGGACACTTTGAAACTCCATTTCCTTTGCTGCCCCCATTGAAGAGGAGAGGCAAGCCAAATGTGTTCGTCCAGACTTCCTTACAGCTAAGGATGACAATTAAGAATGTGACAAAGTCGTGGCCAATAAGACACAGGCAAGCATCTTATGGGAGCTTCTGAGAAAGCTTTTACTTTGCCTGAAATAAGCGACAAATACAGCTGGTGTCTTGACAACTCTTCCCCACTTCTTAGTGCCTTGAAGAAAAACATGCTGTTTGGAGCCACAGCATCCATCTTGCAAACAAGAGGCAATAGGCAACCAATGAATGATGACAAGGCAGAAAGGGAGAAGCCAGGGTTTTAAAGACATCAGTGAGCTGCCATACCAACCCTGAACTGCCTGCTTTTAGGCCTCCAGTGACTTAAGAAACCTAAGTACAGCCTAAAGCATTCCTTACCGAGGATATGTATACAGCAATGATTTGAGGAGGCATATTTTGACAGCTGGGAAATGGGGAGGTCCCAGCTGTCAGGTAATAGGTGGTCCTGGGTTTAGCCCATAGGAAACAGGAAGGGTCAACAAAGAGAGATGCTTCCTTTATTCAGTTGACAACATCCCAGATCCCTTCCTATGGAGCCTCCCCCAAGCCCCCAAAATAACTCCTTCAAACCAAAGATCGCACCATCCTGACTCCTGTGCATCTTCTGTCACATGACCAGGCCAGAAAGTGCTTCTTATTTAAGCCCTGCATTGATAGCATCGTTAGGATCATTTTTTGGCTAGGGTTCTTGTTTTCCAAAATGAACATTTATATTCCTGGCCATGTATATATAGACAGAGCTGCTTGTAAGCTCTGCCTAACTGCCCATGCTAGAGAGCAATGCAGGTCCTTGACAGGCCTTGTGTAAGCCTTCGGATGCACAAGCAAGTCCCACCGACACTCCAGAACTTAAATACGGGAGAAAGTGTTCCAATTACAACTGGCAAGACAGATCACAGGAGATGAGAA